AAGAGCCTCTGAAGTGCCCGGGGGGGGGGGGGGCAGGCCTGGGAGGGTCCTCCAGGGCGGTCCAGGGGGAGGGGGGTGCTGGGGACTGCAAGCCTCTGCTCCTCTCCTGGATGTGGGGCCACGTTGTAGCACCTGCTCCCTGGAGTTTTCTTGACAAGCACCCTGGAGCTGACTAATGTATGACCACATGCCCCCCCACCCCCCCGCCGCCTCACACCGCCAGGGCTGCAGCCTCACCCTTGAGACCCACACTGGCCAGCCTCAGGCACGCTGGGCAGGGACTGTACCCAACACTGGCTCTGGGCCAGGGCCAGGTGCCCAGAGCACTGCCTGCCCTCGGTGATGACCGCCACCCCTCAAGGAGGAACATGGGCAGGAGCCGTGCACCCTGGCGAGTCCCAAGCCCAGCACAGGGTGCCTCCTCCACCCTCCCAACGGTTCCAGAAAACACCCAGGGCCCTCAGACACCCAAGCTGGTCAAGGCCTCCGTGGCCAGTGTGCTGCCCTGCCCTCCCAGGGGCCAAGCCAGGGAGGCCCGGTAGAGCCCTGGGCCTGCCCTGCGTCCGGCGTCCCCGCAACCTGGCCAGAGCTGGGGGTTCAGTGTCAGACCCCACACAGGGACACGCGGCCTCCGGAGAGGCTGGGCACGGGGCGCTGCACAGGCTGGAGGCCTGGCCTCGAAAGACAGACAAGGTGCTTGGGCAGGGTTGGCGGAGCCTGGTACAGGGATATGCTGGGGGACAGAAAGGGTGGTGGAGAGGAGGGGAGGGGAGGGGGAGGAGGGGGATGGAGGGAGGAGGAGGGGGAGGAGGGGGGAGGGGGAGGAGGGGATGGGGAGGAGGATGGGGGAGGAGGGGGATGGGGAGGAGGGGGAGGAGGGGGATGGAGGGAGGAGGAGGGGGAAGAGGGGGGAGGGGGAGGAGGATGGAGGGAGGAGGAGGAGGGGGAGGAGGGGGATGGGGGAGGAGGGGGATGGGGGAGGAGGGGGAGGAGGGGGATGGGGGAGGAGGGGGAGGAGGGGGATGGGGGGAGGAGGAGGGGGAGGAGGGGGAGGAGCAGCAGCAGCAGCGCCGCGGCCGCCTGGACCAGCCTGGACCTCGGGCGCCGGCCCAAGGGCAGAGGGGCGGCGGAGGGATGGCGGGGCCGGGCCGCTCCCGCTGGGGCCGCAGAGCCCGCGCCGGGCTCCGTCCCGGCCCCGTGACTCAGCCTAAGGCGCGGGCTGCAGGGGACGGGGGTGGGGGCCCGCGAGGCCTGGCGTGAGAGGCGCGGGGCGCGGGCGGGCGCGGGGGGCCGCGGGGCGTGAGGAGCGCGGGGCGCGGGGCGTGAGGAGCGCGGGGCGCGGGGCGTGAGGAGCGCGGGGCGCGGGGCGTGAGGAGCGCGGGGCGTGGGGTTCGCGGGGCGCGGGGCGTGGGGTTCGCGGGGCGCGGGGCGTGACGAGCGCGAGGCCGGGCGTGAGGAGCGCGGGGCGCGGGGCCTGAGGGGCGCGGGACGCGGGGGCCGCGGGGGGCGCGGGGCCTGAGGGGCGCGGGGGCCGCGGGGCCTGAGGGGCGCGGGGCGCGGGGGCCGCGGGGCCGCGGGGGGCGCGGGGTGCGGGCCGCGGGGGCGCGGGTGGCCGCGGGGCGCGGGGCGGGTGCGGTGGGTGCGGGGGCCGCGGGGCGGGTGCGGTGGGTGCGGGGGCCGCGGGGTGCGGGCCGCGGGGCGCGGGGCGGGCCGCGGGGCGCGGGGCGGGTGCGGGGGCCGCGGGGCGGGCCGCGGGGCGCGGGGCGGGTGCGGGGGCCGCGGGGCGGGTGCGGGGGCCGCGGGGCGGGTGCGGGGGCCGCGGGGCGGGTGCGGGGCCGCGGGGCGGGTGCGGGGGCCGCGGGGCGGGTGCGGGGCGCGGGGCGGGTGCGGGGGCCGCGGGGCGCGGGGTGGGGGCCGCGGGGCGCGGGGTGGGGGCCGCGGGGGGCCTGAGGGGCGCGGGGCGCGGGCGGGCGCGGGCTCACCGGGCTCCGGCGCTTCAGCGTCACGTTCTTCCACAGCAGCAGCTGCAGCTGGTGCAGGAAGCCCATGGCGGGGCCTCCGCCGCCTCAGCGCCGCGGCCCGCTGCTCCGCGGCCCGCTCGGCATCGCCCGCGCGGGGCGGGGCGCTCGGCGTGCGGGACCGGCTCGGGCTGGCTCCGCCCCGCGGCCGCGGCCCCGGCGGCTCGGCCCGCGCCCGCCGCCCGCCCGCGCTTAAAGGCGCCGCGCCCGCGGTGGCCAGGCGCCCGCCCGGGGCCGGCGGCGCCCTCCAGGTGTCCGCCAGGGGGCGCCCTCGGGAGGCCCGGGGCCCTCAGGGGTCGGGGGCCTCAGGGGTCCGGGGTCGTCTGGGGTCAGGGCCCTCAGGGGTCCGGGGTCGTCTGGGGTCAGGGCCCTCAGGAGTCCGGGGTCGTTCAGGGACGGGGCCCTCAGGGGTCCGGGGTCATCAGGGGTCGGGGTCATCCAGGGCAGGGACCATCAGGACGGGCGCCCGGGGCCCGTGCAGTGTGGGCCAGCAGCGTGGTCAGCAGGCCCCCGGTGTCTGCATGGATTCTTCTAGCTCACCCCTTCCAGCCTGGGGCCCTGGGGCGCCCGTAGGCACTCCTCCCACTCTGCCCAGCCGAGCCCCCACCCCACAGGAGACCCCACAGGGGCCGAGGTGGCCACTGTCCATGTGCGCCATGCCCAAGGCTTGGCTGTGCCCTGACCCCCCCTTGGCTCCCCCTTCCCCCCTTCTTCCCCCATCCCTTCCCCTCACAGGGGATTTTGCTTGCTAAGCAGGTGCTCTACTACTTGAGCCCTGCCTTGTGGGACCTTTTTTGCTATTTTTTTTTGGGGGGGGTCGGTCATGGGGCCTGAACTCTGGGCCTGGGCACTGTCCCTCAGCTCTTCAGCTCAAGGCTAGCGCTCTTCCACTTGAGCCACAGCACCACTTCCGGCTTTTTTAAATTTTTTTTTTCTGCTTATGTGGTGCTGAGGAATCAGACCCAGGGCCTCATGCATGCAAGGCAAGCGCTCTACCACTGAGCCACCTTCCCAGCCCCTTTGCTATATTTTTTTTAAGACCAGGTCTTGGCTCCCCCCCCCCCCCCACACACACACACAGCTTTGGTCATGGGGCTTGAATTCTGGGTCTGGGCGCTGTTCCTCAGCTCTTCAGCCCAGGCCAGCGGTCTACCATGTGAGCCACAGCGCCACTTCTGGTTTTCTTGTGGTTAATTGGAGATAAGAGTTTCAAAGATTCCCTGCCCAGGCTGGCTTTGAACTGCTATTCTCAGATCTCAGCCTCCTGAGTAGCTAGGATTACAGGTGTGGCCACCAGCACCCAGCTAGAGTGAGGGATTTTAATTGGTGGGTTTCAGGTAGACAAGCTGGAGTTGTCTGGGGGCAGGGGTCGTTGTATGTGGTCTGCAGAGATTGTGAGCCCCAAATGGTGTGTGGAGCTGCCAATGCAGAGGGGGCTGGGTGCCAGGCAGACCACTGGACAGCCCCCCAGGAGGAAGCAAGGGGTTGAACAGAGCCCCGATTCTCATCTGAGGAAGGTAAACACATTCAACGCGGTGCCAAGGCATCAAAAGCTGTGACGATTCGCTAAGGAGCACGCCCTGTGGCTGCACATGGAGACCGCTGCTCCACTAGGACGCTTGTCCCTTTCCAGCCAGGGAGAAGACAGGAAGGAATCTAAGGGCTGTCCACTCCTGGGGGGCCAGGGCGTGTGGGGAGGGCTGCCCCTTCTGAGCATGGCTTGCTTGCCTTCACATCGGAGGTGAGCCCAACGCACGCACAGGGAGCCTGGGGTCATCAGTTCTGCAGAAGGCCCCGGGACACCTGCTGGAGCCCCGCCCAGGACAAGACGCACCACCCCAACCTAAGGCTGCAAAGGCGATGCCCCAAGTGGCCAGCAGAGGGAAGCACAAGGCCAGCAGCCCTAGACCAAGGAGGCCCCAGCAGTGGGTTTAAACGGCTGCTGACCGGCAGGTAGGGCTGTGTGATTGCCAGTCCAGAATGCACAGAGGTCTCTGGGGGGAATAAAAGACCCCTCCTTTCTTTCTGCACTCTCAGATCCTCCTTAGAGGAAAAGGGACATAACCTGGGCAGATGAGTGAAAGCACCCCCAGCCCCCAACCTGAGGGCACTTCCTTCTCCCTAATTAGCCCATGGGGCTGTGTCAGAGCAGGAAGCCGCTGGCAGGCCTTTCCCACAAGTCACAGAGGAAGGGGGGGCTTCCTGCCTGCACCCCACACACACACTGCAGGGACAAGCCAGTGCCCACACCAGCCTCAGGAGCTCCTGCCCAACCCCCCACAGGCTCACCAGTGCCACACACACACCACACACACACACCACACGCATACACACACACTGCAGGGACAAGCCAGTGCCCACACCAGCCTCAGAAGCTCTGCCTCTGGGGCTCCTGCCCAAACCTCCACAGGCTCACCAGTGCCACACACACACACACACACCACACACACATGCACACACACAGACGCACATACACACACCCCATGCACACGCACGCACACACACACGCGCACACACCCTTCACTGCCAGAGGGGCTCCGTGTCACAAAACAAGCCTTGTCTCACCAGACACCCCCCAATGTGAGCCCTGTGAAATGGGGTCAGGGAATACGCAGCTCTTGGTCAGGTCCTGCTTAGCAAAGCCCTTCCGCAGAGGCAGGGCAGGGCCCCTGACAGCAGCCGGCGAATGGGGTCAGAACCAGGAACCCCGCCACTGAATGGGAGACAGGCAGGGTGAGAGGGGCTCTGGCTCCCTGCACAGCCTGGACCCGGGAGACTGGGGTTGGTGTGTTTATTGTTGCCTGACTCCCACTAGCTCCGTGTCCTCAGGGCCATCCTCCCTGCACTTTGGAGACAAGCGGCCGGTACCCCCACTGACTCCCTCCCTGCTAGGACCTTCCCCCCACACACCCCAAATCGCAGCTCCAAAGCCCGCTGACCTCCTCCTCCGGGCAGCCCCCCAGCCCCCCACCTCACCCCCACTTAGCTTCCTGGTGGGACCCCAGCCCCCAGTTGGCCTGGGGGAGACGGGTCCTGTGGTTTGATCGCAGCATCCGGCCTTTCCTGCGGCACTGGAGGGAGCTTAGGCCCGGAACCAGCCTTCGAGGTCCTCATAGACCTGGCCGCGGGGCAGGCGGGGGTAGAGGGCACAGATGGCGCAGAAGCGTTCCCGCCAGTCCCCAAGCAGCCGCACCCGGAGTGTGTCCTGCCAGGCAAAGAAGCGGCCATAGCGGCTCTCGTTCATGCCCGTGAGGAACGCGGCCAGCTCGCGGGCGGAGCCGAAGTCGTCCACGTGTATGAAGGCCTCTGGCGGCACGAAGGCCTCATAGGTGGCCCGCGGGGGCCCCAGCACCACGGGCACTGAGCCCGCCGCCAGCGCGTTGCGCCACAGCTTCTCCGTGATGTAGTCGCGGTGCTGCGAGTTCTCGAAGGACAGATAGAAGCGGTAGCGCGCCACCGTGGGCAGCAGGCAGCTGGCACACAGGGGCCGCCCGCTGGCTCTCCCGAACACGTCCACCCGCAGGTGAGGCGCCAGCTGCCGGTACAGCCGCGCCCGCCTCTGCCGCTCCTGGAAGTTGCTGACCACCCAGGCGGCCATGCCGCTCTTGGGCGGCCGTGGCGGTGTGGGGCCCGTGTGGGGCTCCAGCCGGCCATAGGGCACGAAGATGTCCGAGTCACGCCGGTAGCTCAGCACCCAGTTGAAAATGCCCCGGAGGCGGCGGAGGCCGTGCGTGTGGCTGGGGGACTCCATGGAGGCCCAGATCCAGGGCTGCCCGGGGGGCCGCCCGGCCAGGGGCAGGTGCGCGCGCTGCGTCTCCAGCTCCCGGTGGTGGAAGACCACGGCGTCTGCGCTGGCCAACAGGCTTCGGTTGGTGCTCAGGAGGCAGCGGTCCACGCCGTATCGCGTGCAGGTGTCACCGGGCAGCTCCGGGGGCCGGTCCGTGAAGGGCCAGTGCCAGACGAGGATGGTGACTAGCGGCTGGGGGGCGGGGGGACCCCCGGGGACCCAGCCCACCAGCCACAGGATCCAGAGGGCCGTGAGTACGGTCCCCCCAGCCAGGCCCCCCCAGGCCCGGAGCCTCCAGGGGGCTGAGCCCTGCAGTGGGGTGAGTGGAGAAGCCAGGTCAGCCCGGCCCGGGCCCAGGCCCCCCCAGCCGCCTCCCGGCCCAGTCAGCCCGGCCCGGGCCCAGGCCCCCCCAGCCGCCTCCCCACCCTGGGCCCTGGGGACCCGCACTCACCAGCATGGTTCATCCACACCCGGCCCGAATCTCACCCAGAAATCTGAGCCTCTCAAATCACAACAGCCTCTCTAGCAGAGGGGCCCCACTGAGCCTCTGTCTGGAAGCTCTCTTTTTATCTCCCCGCCCCTGCCCTGCCCCTGCTCACCCCTGCCCTGCCCCTGGGGCACCAACTCCCTCCTGCCCCCCAGCTACTGGGAGTGAGGATGGCTACTGGAAGGAGGCCGTGCCAGGGCCCCTGCTGCCACTGGCCTCCAGAGAGGACCAGTTATGCGCACAAGAGAGGGGTTGGGGGCCCGCCTGGCCCCAGGCCAGGGAAGACCACCATGTGAGCACCCTGAGCAGAGGCAGCCCCCTCCCCAGATGGGCACCGCAGCCCCGGGCACCAGCACAGAACAGGTATGCTTCCCCAGGAGGCCGCAGGGCCCCTCCCCATGGCATCGCCCACTTCCCTCATTCACCCCTGCCACCTGGCCCTGAGAACTGAGAACCTCGGGTTCAGATGTGCTGTGCTCAGCTGACAACAGGACAGTGAGGTTTCCAGTGGGGCCAGCCCCTCCCCCACCACCTCTGGGAGATGCCTCATCCCAAGTCCAGACCCCAAACAGGAGCCCATCTTGGGATCCGGGAGCCTGCGGCACATGCTGGGAGGCCCTGGGCTGCATGGCCTGGGAGTGGGGGGCGTCTCCCCACCCTGGGTCTTGGCGCCCCCCCTGCTGCCCCCAAGGGGCTTTCCAGGCTGGAAAGGGAAGGAGTCTGGTGGCCCCGACTGCCTGGCGGCGGCGCAGGACAGGGAGCTGACTGGCTCCAGGAACAGGAAGGCCGGCCCTGCCCGAGGTGAAGCACCTCCCCTCCCCCTCCTCCAGGTCCAGCCTGGGGTCGCCGCAGGGTCAGGGTCTTCCCTTGGACCGCCTTGACCTGGAGCCGTGGCACGCGGGGATGAGCCGGCCGGCGGGTGTCTCAGTCACCCAGCATCGGCCCACACGGCGCTCTGGCCACGAGCCCGCCCACACTGCTGCCTAGCGCCCTGCGTGGGCATCCAGGGCAGAGCCCTGGGCTCGGAGAGGAGCTGCCGTCAGACCTGCTGCCCGGCACCGTCTCTCAGGCTGCCTCGCTCCCAGGTCCCCAGCCACGGCCTTGCCCCAGGACAAGGCTGCCGTTGGTACAGGAAGCAGACGGCCGGTAGCACACCACAGCGGGAGCGTGTCCGTTCGCGCCCTCGGGGGCACCCTGCCCGCTGTGGCCCAGCATGTCCTCCGGCTGCGGTGGAAAGCTTGTGCAATGCTAACCCAAGCGGGGGGTGGGGCGTGGGAACTGTCAGGTACCCCAGCCGGCCTGGGGCACTGACCCGGGAGGCTGGCCACAGAGACGGCAACTTTGGGAGATGACCACAGTGGCATCTATACCCCGGGCATCCCCCCCCAACCACCACGGGCAGCCTCAGGGGAGACACACCCTAACCTCAAGCCTCGTTCCACCCCACCCCACCTCTCCTAAGCGGGCCGGGGGACTGCAGGAAGGAGGCCCTGTTGCCAACCTGGGGCGACCAGCTTCTGGCTGTCAGAGCCTGCTGTCCTTCCTGTTTGTGCAGCTTGCCAGGCTGCCTGGGGACCATGCCACCCCTTCCCCACCCACAGCTGGCCCCCTTCCTGGGTGGCCTTGGAGAAGCCCCCCCGTCAGGCTGCTCCCCGCCCCCCTATGGCAGCTGAGGTTGGCAACAGGGGCCCCCGACTGTGAGAAGCTGCCAGCTGGGAAATGGGTCAGAACGAAAGAGGCAAAGGGGTGAGAGGGTATGAGTCAAAGGGGAAGCGGGGCACCTACACCACTGCCTGCCCCAGCCGGGCCTCCCAACTCAGAGGGCCCTTGGGACGAAGCAGTGGGGTGAGGGACATGCCCAGCCTGAGGGCATTTTGACGAACCAGCTACACCCAGCGGCCTGCCTGACCTGCTCCCCCAACACTGACCTCAGTGGGCCTAGTGCAGATGAGTGTCAGGGCGCCCCCTGGTGGCTGTGGTCCGGCGCCACTTGCTCCAGCCAAGAAGGGAGCCTGGGCGTAATTAGGGTTAGGATTGGGGCTCACCTGGGTGAGGATTTGGGGCCGAGGTCCTCACACCTCTCTGTGCTCACCTTTGTGGAAAGTAGGTGCAGTGAGGAATGGGCCCTTGGGGGCCTCGGCAGGAAGCCAAGGGGCAGCCCGGGCAGGGCAGGGAGCCAGCTGGCGTGGGGAGTGGAGGGCAGGGCCCGGAAGAGCTGGGGTGCTTTGCGGGCCCAGCCCTCTCTGCCATCCTTTCCTACCAAACCTGCAGAGAGCGGGGAGGCATCGTGTGCTTGGCCCTGTACGGCTCCCGGCCAGCCCCGGGAGGGGCAGGCGTACTGTCCAGGCCCTCTGCCTTACCCCACGCTCTGCGTGTCCTTCTCCACTCCACACCGACATATCCCTTCATGCCCTGTCGCCGGTGGGAGGCTGGGCCAGCCCGAGGCCCACGCAGGGCGGCAGAGACGGCAAGGAGGAGGATGCCACCTCCCAGGGCCGAATCTGGGGTTTCTGCTTACCAGGGTCTTGCCCCAGGGTCAAGCGGGGCTGGAGCCTCTCCAGATGGGGCTATCCAGGCCGGTGCTGGCATCTGTGCTCAGGGAGGCGCCAGGCAGTCCCACTAGGCCGAGGCAGACACATCCTGCTGAGCTTCCTCTAACGAGAAGCAGCAGGTGGAGGAAGAGTTGGGCTGCTTGGGAGAGGGGGCCGGGCAAGAAGGCGCAGGTGGAGCCGGGTGCCGGTGGCTCAGCCCTGTCACCCCAGCTACTCAGGGGGCTGAGATCTGAGGATCGCGGTTCAAAGCCAGCCTGGGCAGGAACATCTGTGAGACTCTTATCTCCAATAAGCCACCAGAAAACCAGAAGTGGCGCTGTGGCACTTACCTTGAGCTGAAGAGCTCAGGGACAGTGCCCAGGCCCAGAGTTCAAGCCCCACGACCAAAAAAAAAAGGTTCAGGTCGGGGGGGGGGGGGGGCGGGCAGGCCTGTAGAATAGGCTCAGGTGGGGGGGCCTGTAGAAGGCTCAGGAGGGGGGGGGGGGCTGTAGAAGGCTCAGGTGGGCTAAGGGCTGAGGTGAGACCAACCTCTCACTGGTGTTAGGCAAGATGCCTCTCCACAGGGGCTCCAGGTCAGGTCCACAGGTGAAGGGCAGGGGCAAATGGTCCTGGCAAGGCCAGCCCGGACTCCTCACTCCAGACTGGGGGCTCCAGATCCCCTGAGGATCCCAGGGCTTGGAGGGGGGCAGCTCTGAGGTAGTTTGGGCAGAATTAAATGACTCTCTGAATTGGCCTGGGGCAGATGGGAGCCAACAGACAGGTGGGGTGCAGTGCTGGGCTGGCCAGGGGTAAGTGGCCGAGAGGAGACCCTGCCCACACTTGCCGGGTCAAAGATTGTGGGCAGGGGCCCCAAGAACAGGCTGGGGAAAACCAAAGGCTGAGAAGATGGGACTAGCAGGAGGCTGCTCTTGGACTCCAGGTCAGGCCAGCAGGGGTAACAGTGGTGACCCCAGTACAGGTCCTAGCATTCAGGGGACCCCAGCTTTGGCTGCAACCCCACTAGCAAGATATGGACTGAGCGCCAGGCCCTCTGTGCACTGGAAAGAGGCCTCCTGCCTCTGCAGCTGCAGGGGCGCTGCTCAGCCCCCTCCTTCCCCACCCCTGGTCCCCAGAGGGGACCAGGCTCATACTAAGGGCCAAAGGTCACAGTTGAGGGGTGAGGATAAAGCGGAGTTCCTGGTCTGGGGAGCTCTGGTTCCCAAAACCTATTGCTTGGAACAATCTGGCATCTCTGTGTACGGTTCACCTTATTTCCATGTTTTTCCTCCTGGTTCTGCAGGGCACTGCTCCCAAACCAGCTGCCACTGCCCCACTGTGGGCCTGTCTGAGCCTGGATCCTGTGTGTGTGTGTGTGTGTGTGTGTGTGTGTGTGTGTGTATGACTGCCCCACTGTGGGCCTGTCTGAGCCTGGATCCTGTGTGTGTGTGTGTGTGTGTGTGTGTGTGTGTGTGTGAGACGGAGCTTGAACTCATGGCCTGTCTGAGCTTGGATCCTGTGTGTTTGTGTGTGTGTGTGTGTGTGTGTGAGACGGAGCTTGAACTCATGGCCTGAGCACTGTTCACCTTATCTCCATGTTTTTCCTACTGGTTCTGCAGGGCACTGCTCCCAAACCAGCTGCCACTGCCCCACTGCGGGCCTGTCTGAGCCTGGATCGTGTGTGTGTGTGTGTGTGTGTGTGTGTGTGACAGAGCTTGAACTCATGGCCTGAGCACTGTCCCTGTCCCTGAGCTGGATCCTGTGTGTGTGTGACGGAGCTTGAACTCATGGCCTGAGCACTGTCCCTGTCCCTGAGCTCTTTTGCTCAAGCTAACACTCTACCACTTACTTTGAGCCACAGCTCCATTTTGAGGTAAGAGTCTTGCTGGGCGTCGGTGGCTCACACCTGTAATCCTAGCAACTCAGGAGGCTGAGATCTGAGGATCTCGGTTCAAAGCCAGCCCAGGCAAGAAAGTCCGTGAGACTCTTATCTCCAATAAACCACTAGAAAACTGGAAGTGGCGCTGTGGCTCAAGCAGTAGAGCGCTCACTTTGAGCTGAAGAGCACAGGGACAGCGCCCAATCCCAGAGTTCAAGCCTGATGACTGACCAAAAGAAAAAAAGAAACGAAAAAGTCTCACCAACTTTCCTGCCTGGGTTGACTTCCAACCCTAATCCTGAGATCTGCGCACCAGCAACCAGCCTGCTGAACTGCTTTGCCAGGACCATTCCCCCTCCCTGAGTCAGACTGGGCTTGGTTCTGCACCCTGGTTGGAGCTGGCCCAATCTGGGCACTTGTGATGACATGGTGTTGTTCTCCAGCTCGTCCCACCCCTCTTGATCCTCACATGGGGATTGGCAGACCAGGCCCCAGCTGTCGGCACTGAGGGGCTCTACCACCTAACTTCCTCACCAGGCTTCCTGGTCTAGCGGGCGTGTGCACTCGCCACTCAGGACTCTTTACCTGGTATGTCCCCGATAGACACTGCAGGACCCAGATCTCCTTGTGGTCCGTGAAACTCACAATGTCTGTCAGGTACCTTTCCTGCCGTCTGCCCCAGGGACAGAAGTGTTGGGTGGCCACATCCAGTGTATGCAGACTGCCCCGTTTCCCAGACCCCTGCTTTCTGGGCCAGTCCTTGGGCTTGAACTCAGGGTCTGGGGTGCTGTCTCTGAGGTTTGTTTTTAGCTCAAGGCTAATGTTCTACCACTTGAGCCACAGCTCCACTTCTGGTTTTTTTGGTAGTCAATTAACAGAGTCTCACAAACTTTCCTGCCTGAACTGGCCGCCAATCACGATCCTCAGATCTCAGCATCTTGTGTAGCTAGGATTATAAATGTGAGCCATGGCACTAGGCTCTCGCCCTTTCTATCACAATGAATTGGAACCTTCCAGGGAGTAAGAGGCAGCTGTGGGCTGAACCAGCCTTGTAGTTCATCCTTACCTTCCCTATTCGGGGACAGAAATATGGTGAAGGGGTGAGGGCCACTAAAAAGGTGGGCTGGCCGGGCGCCTGTGGCTCAGGCCTGTCATCCTAGCTATGCAGGAGGCTGAGATCTGAAGATTGCGGTTCAGAGCCAGCCCGGGCAGGAAAGTCCATGAGATACATCTCCAATTAACCTCCAGACAACAGAAGTGGCGCTGTGGCTCAGGTGGTAGAGCGCTGGCCTTGAGCTGAGGAGCTGAGGAACAGCGCCCAGGCCTGGAGTTCAAGCTCCATGCCAAAAAAAAAAAAACAAAAAACAGTGGCCTGCCCACTCTCCAGTCTCCTTAACAAGGTCTTCCCAAGAGCTCCAAAGGCTGCCCTCTCTTGGGGAGCAGGAGGCCGTGGTCCCCCACTCCAAGGCCATCGTCCTCCAGTGGAGGTGAGCGGCTAGGGATGAACGGCATCTACAAGCACAGGTTTGAGATGGGCTTTAATTGGCTTCTGTCTCCAGAACTTCCCATCCTGCCTAGCCACCTCCCCGGGCGGGGGGGTACAAGGCAGCACGGGTCTCCTAGCACAAGCGGGGATCTCCTCGGGCCTCTCACAGCCCCATCCAGGCGGAGGCCCGGCCGCTCTCCCGCCGCGGACGCAGGCGCGCAGGTGGTTGGGGCCAGGGTCACTGCAGCGGAGACGGAGACGGCGAGTGTCCGCCCGGGAGGGGCGCAGACAGCGAGGCGTGGTCGAAGAGCGGGTTGCGGACCTCCATCTCCCCGGTCTGTGAAGGCGCTGAGTCAGGGCGCGCGAGGGCTTCGTGAGCCCCGGCTGGAGGACCTCCCGGCACTTACCGGGGCCAGGCCTGGACACTCGTACACGGTGAAGTCCCCGTCCTCGTTCTCCTCTTCCGACGCTGAGTCCAGGTCCTTGGGAGGCCCCTTATGCCTGAGTGAGGGCGGGAGGTCTGGTCTGCGCCGTGGGGGCGGCCGGGGGCTGAGGCCGGGGGCTGGGGCCAGGGGCTGGGCCGTGGAGGGGCCGTGGGCTTGGGCCGTGGGAAGAGCCGGGGCTGTGGGGGGGCCGGGGGCTGAGGCCGGGGGCTGGGGCCAGGGGCTGGGGCCGTGGGGGGGGCCGAGGGCTGGGGCCGTGGAGGGGCCGTGGGCTGGGGCCGTGGGAAGGGCCGGGGTCGTGGGGGGGCCGGGGGCTGAGGCCGAGGGATGGAGCCAGGGGCTGGGGCCGTGGGGGGGCCGGGGGCTGAGGCCGGGGGCTGGGGCCGTGGAGGGACCGTGGGCTGGGGCCGTGGCCGTGGGGGGGCAGGGGCCGCGGGGGCGGGGCCGGGGCCGTGGGGGGGCCGGGGGAATGGGGCCGTGGGGGGGCCGGGGGAATGGGGCCGTGGGGGGGCCGGGGGACTGGGGTCGTGGGGGGGCCGGGGGCTGGGGCCGTGGATGGGCCGTGGGCTGGGACCGTGGGGGGGCTGGGACTGTGGGGGGGCCGGGGGCTGGGGCCGTGGGCTGGGGCGGGGGGGGGGGGGCGTGGAGGGGCCGTGGGCTGGGGCGGGGGGGGGCCGTGGAGGGGCCGTGGGGGGCCGTGGGCTGGGGCCGTGGGGGGGGCTGGGGCCGTGGGGGGGCCGGGGGCTGGGGCCGTGGGGGGGCCGTGGGCTGGGGCCGTGGGGGGGGCGGGGCCGGGGCCGTGGGGGGGCCGTGGGCTGGGGCCGGGGAGCTGGGGCCGTGGGGAGGCTGGGGGGCTGGGGCCGTGGGGGGGCCGTGGGCTGGGGCCGTGGGGCTGGGGCCGTGGGCTGGGGCCGTGGGGGGGCCGTGGGCTGGGGCCGTGGGGGGGCCGTGGGCTGGGGCCGTGGGGCTGGGGCCGTGGGCTGGGGCCGTGGGGGGGCTGGGGCCGTGGGGGGACCGGGGGGCTGGGGCCGGGGGCTGGGGCCGTGGGGGGGCTGGGGCCGTGGGGGGGCCGGGGGGCTGGGGCCGGGGGCTGGGGCCGTGGGCTGGGGCCGTGGGCTGGGGCCGTGGGGGGGCTGGGGGGCTGGGGCCGTGGGGGGGCTGGGGCCGTGGGGGGGGCCGGGGGGCTGGGGCCGGGGGCTGGGGCCGTGGCGGCCCCGGGCACGGGGCGGGGCAGGCTCACCGCTCCAGGCACAGCATCTGCTGCCGCTGGTGCTGGTAGTGGTACATCTCTGCACTGTGCGCCAGCCGCTGGTCCCCGGGCTGTGGGCGGAAGCGGAAGGGCCCGCTGAGGGAGCGGGGCCACAGCGGACAGGGCGGGGCCACCGCGGACAGGGCGGGGCCATCGCGGATGGGGCGGGGCCACCGCGGGCGTGGTCTTGCCGCGGGGCGGGGCCAGGGAGGGGCAAGCAATGGACAGGGCGGGGCCGTGGGCGGGGCCAGCGACCGCTCACCGAGATCCCGGGCGGTACAGGTGAGCCAGGTGCCTTGGCAGTGGAGTAGTCTGCCTTCTGAGTCAGGCGGATCTCTCGCTGCAGCCTGCAGGAGGTGGAGCTGAGGTCATGGACTGGCCCTGGTGCATGCTGGGCCGGCCCGGCCCTGCCCGCCTGCTGCTCACCTGCACCAGCACAGGGCCGCCACCGCGAAGGCGGCCGCACCGGCCACGCAGAAGGCCACCATCAGCACTGCAGGAGATGTGCGGTGAGGGGCAAGCTCACTGTGAGTCCCTGCGACCCCCTCCCGCCCGCTGCCAGAGGCCCCGACCTACCAAGGGCCAGGCCGCTTCCACGCCCCCCACCAGGCTCCAAGGGAGCCATGTGCACCGGCCCAGACGATACCGGGGAACCCAAGGAGGCGCGGGGCGTGGGTAGAGAGGCTCCGCGAGTGAAGGGGAGGCTGGGCTGGGCTCCCGGACCCCTCTCTGAGAAGCCCAGGGTAGCTGCTGGGAGAACAGGTAGATTACATCAGTAGGGCAGGTTGATGTCCACAGTGGCAGAGGCCAGGGCAAGGGGCAAGGGTCTCACCAGGCTCCAGGAGCCGCTGCTGGACCTCAGGCAGGGGCCCAGCTGTGAGCCTCGAGTGCCTGGCTTCCTTGAGGGCTAGCTCCTGTGCCAAGAAGTCAATCTCATCTTCCAGTCTGGGCTGGGGCAGGTCCTCCCCTAGGGAGGGAGAAGGTCATCAGGTGAATCCTCATCTCCTCCTGAGACAGAGGGAACCATCCTGGTCTAGGCCTCTCTTCCTGGGCCTAGCAGGAAAGTCCTTAATCCTTCCCAGGTTGCCATAGCAACGACAGAGGGGCTTCCAGGAAAAGTGGGCAGGGAGGCCAGGGAGGAGGTACAAGGGGACTGTGCAGAAAGACCAGGCAGAAGAAAAGAATGTGGAGTCCCTTACCCTGGCATGGTCCATAGAGATGGGCAAAGCACTGGACAGCATTTCCAATCTCACCCCCCAAGTACCTTCTCTAGCCAACAGGGGCAGTGAAGAGAAGCCAAAGTAAGCCCAACTTCCAGGCTGGACTCCCAAGCTTCAAAGAGGAGGGCAGCACGGGGGTGGACGGCTGGCTGCCCCCCCTCGTTTCTACTGTGGACCTCAGAGTCCAGACAGAAGCTCCGAGGTAGGTACCCATCCACAACCCCCAACGAAGCACAGGCAAAAGGCTACAGCAACTGTTTGCTGCCTCTCAGGGCCCCCACAAGCCATACCCCTGCACCTCTCTGCAAGGTCCCATCATGCCTGAAGGTGTCCCGCAAGTGGCCATGGGTATGGACTTCAGGTTGGTGGCTGTCAGCACTGGCATGTTACCCACAAACACCCGTCATGGAGAGGGGGGATGAGCAGGGCACCCAGTGGGCAGGAAAGGAGACCCCTGGAGGAGCTTTGGCAGGTACTATGAGGCCCAGGCCTGGAAGCTCTGACTCTACTGAGGTCACCCTTACCTTAAAAAGGCCTTGCTGCCCTAAGGCCTCAGCCCAGCTTTAGGCTCTGGGCCTGTGCTACCTTGAAAGGACCAAGGAGCTGCTGCCAGAGTAACGTGGACACCTCACAGGGATCTAGTGATCGTCAGGGGTGGGGTCCCCTAGGAGTGCAGTACAGGTGTGGAGGCAGGGAGGGACAGAGGCCATCCTGCCCACTCACTTCCCCTGCCCTGTGCTCTTGCATACCGGGAGGCCGGTGCGTCCTGGGCACACAGTTCCCCTGCAGATCCTCCTGGAAGGGCTGAAGGCAGGGTCCACAGGCATGAGCACCCGTGGGACACCTAGCCCGCCTCTTCAGGGCACAGTCTAGGCTTCCAGGACAGGTTGCTGCATCTACAAAGGAAGAAGGCAAGCCTGGCCACAGCCTGCTGGGCCTGGCCTCTGGGCAGCAGCACTGCCCAGGCCTGCCCCTCAGGGCTGGCTCCGGCCATTGTTCTGGAGAGGCCCTTCCTCCCTGCAGCCAGGGCTCAGAACCAGGAAGCAAACAATTCCAAGACTTACGGGAACTCCCCTGCTCCACCCACTCCCCAGAGTCCGTCCACTTCCAGACCTAAGCCTGGCTGCAAACAGAATCTGACCCTCACTGTCCAGCTGCCTCTCCTGGGCAGAGCTATGCAGCCTTCCCAAACTGGCTACTACCCTCAAAGTGAGCCAAGTCCTCTAGCCAGACTGAGAGGTCAAGAGGGTGAGCCCAGGTCTAGCTTGGAAACAGCACCAGACCCCCCAAATATCAGAACTTTCCCCCCAAACTCAATTCATGCTGTCCAACAGGGGAGTGTGAAAGAGACTAGAACAAAGGCCCCACCTGGAAAGCCGTAGCTGGCCTGCTGCTGAGCCTCTGGCTTGTCCCAAGGCACAGAGAAGCCCTGGGATCAGATTTTCCTGGAGCCAGGTGGACCCAGCCTTGGGAGGCCTGGGTAAGCACTAGTCCCCAGTCATGCTGGCATCCCCCTGATTGGGGGCCCAGAAGGTGGTGTGGTGCTTATACATAGCCAGTCAGACCTATTGTCCCAATGGAGGATGGGGCAGTGACCCTTGCTGACTGTCTCCCTGTGGTGTACTGAAGTCCAGTTGCTTCAAGGTTAAGGACTATCTCCAACCTGGACCCAGTCACAGCAAGTCAGAGGCCGAGGGGGGCGGGGGGTGTCTCTGGGCAAGCAGATCCTTTCTCTCAGCCTGGCCGCTATCCCATGCTTAGGAGAGGGCAAAGAGGGGGTCGGCTGGCCAACTTCGGTTTCCTTGGTAGCCTGGCACTTGCAGCCTCCAGGCCACAGCCCCTCACGAGGACATTTCGGCAGCCCCGGGGGTGGGCATGGGTCCCTATGCCAGGGGCAGCTGTTCAGTGTGCAGATCTGTGGGCCTGGGACATCAGCCGGTTAAACATTAACCCCAGGCAGGTAGTTCACCCGACCCCACCTGTCAGACCCCACCTGTCAGGGAGCGGGGAAGCCTGGGGCTGATAACCCAGTCAGGCCCCCACAGAGACCTGTGGCACACGGTAGGCTCCTGGGGCCTACCTGGCCCTCCAGTCTTCCAGCCCCAGAGCCTCCGCTGCGCTCCTGCCAGCATCGTCTTGGGCACCCCAGCTCCGGCCTGCCTGAGGGTAGGCAAGGCAGGAGCCAAGGTGGCGGGAGGGTGACCAGGCCTCCACCCACACCTGGGCAAGGCGTGGGTGGAGATGCGGTGTGGGGGGGTCCCCAGGGCCCCCAGCTAAGCATAAGCAGCTGAGTGTGACCAGCGAGGCCTGAGCCCGGCCAGGCTCCGGCCAGGCGGCCTCCACGTCCCAGGCCATCCCCGATCGGCCTCCCATTCAGGCTGTGGGTACCCGGGAGCCCTCAAGGCTGGGCGTGAAGAGGCTGCAGGGGCCGCTCCCCGCCCGCAGGCCCCGGCAGCAGCCCTCGGCCTCGGGGCGCGGCGGAGCCGCGCAGGATCCCCGCGGACGGGGACCGGCGCGGGAGGCGGGGATTCCGGAGGAGCCCCGCGGTCCGGCCCTCCCGCCCCGGGGCTGTCAACTCGGCGTCCGGGGCCGGGCGCGGCGGCTTCCGGCGGACCCGGCCTGCGGGGCCTGCGGGGCCTGCGGCCCGCGCCCGAGAGCTGGCTCACCAGGGCGGCTGGCGGCGGCGCCGTGCAGGGCGGCTCCGAGGACGAGGCCGGAGAGCAGCAGCCGCAGCAGCCGCAGGTGCCGCGAGGAGGGCGGAGGGACCGGCGTCGCCATCGCTCAGCGCCGCCGCCCGGGCAGCATGGCACCCGCGGGCCCCGGCTCCGCACGGGCTCGGGCCGCCGCGGCGCGAGGAGCGGGGGAGCGGCGGGGGCGGCGGGGGCGGCGGGGGCGGCGGCGGAGGCGCTGACGCTGCGGCAAAGGATCCGGGAGCGAGGCGCGGCGGCGGGCGGCGCGCGTGCTGGGAGTGCGCCTGCGCGCGCCGCCCGCGGGGCGGGGGCGCCGGGGGACGCCCCTCCCCCAGCCCTCCTCCCCTCCCCCGCCCCCCTTCTCCCCCTCAGCCCCGGACATCTCGCTCCTGGCGTTGGCCTGCCCCAGCCGGACCCCCAAATCTGGCTTGGGGTCTGGGCGAGCCTCCCCGGGCCTTGCCACCCCCGCTCCTCTCCCGCACCGCTCCCAGGAGCGGAGGACCCGCCCCGGCTGTAGTACGGAAATCCCTGGTGCACCGGGCCGCGCACGGGTGGGCTCGAGAAACGCGGGGAAGCGCGGGCCCGCCCCGGACCGGAGGGGACGCCACGCCGGCGCTTCCCGCGGCGGCCACCAGGGGGCGGCGGCGGCGCGGGGCGGCGGCGGGAAGCCTGGGAGCTGTCCAAGGTGGCCGCGGCCCCGGGGCGCGCGACGGGGCTCATCCTCGGGCCCTCCACGCGGGTCTCCCCGCGGCTCAGCAGGAGAGCCACGGCGAGGCCCCCGCCCGGCGAGGTGCCGCTCCCAATCGCCGTCGCGGGGCGGGCGGGAGGCCCGCGGGGGGCGCGAAGCCCTGGGGGGGGCGCGCCCCTGCCTCCCCCGGGGCGAACTCGTGCGGGTCACTTCCGGGAAGGGGCCACACCCCTCGCCCGGATAACCGGGCGCAGGGAACTCTAATCCTGCGTGGCTGCGGGGTGCCCCGGCGAGGGCAAGGCGTCGCGATCGCGTCGCCGCCCCCGACCTCGCGGCCCCGGCCCCCGCCGTCGGTCCCGCGCACCTTCGCCCAGCCCCGCCGCAGGTCCCGCCAGGCTGGGCGAGGACCCGGAGTTTGTGAGAGAAGACTCGGGGAGCAGGAGTGCCCGAGTCGGGCCAGAGAGGCAGCGGGAAGAGCCGCGTCCCCGCTGCGGGCCTGGGGCCTTCAGGGTCAGCAGAGCGAGGGCGGCCGACGCGGAGCACTTTATTACAAAACCTTCACAAGCAGGGTCAGCCCCCGCCACGCGGCCCAGCGCTGCGGCGCCCCGACGACTGCCGGGCCGCGGCCCGGGTCACAGGCCGAGGGGCCCGCCACCCCCGGGGCGGGGGGAGCGGGAGGCCCTGGGGAAGCCCCAGGCCGGAAGGGGTGCGGGGGCGCGGGGCCAAAGGACCCCTGTGGACGTGGGTGCGGGGCCCGGCAGCTCCCCGCGCGACCCTAGATGGCGCTGGTGGCCTTGGCCGAGCGCACCTGGCGCAGCACCAGGAGCAGCGCGGCCAGGAGCAGCGCGGCGAAGAGCAGGAGCAGGGCCACCCACGAGCTGAAGTCCGTGCCCTTGCGCAGCCCCGGCGGGTCGGCGGGGATCAGGTTGGTCAGGTTCAGCATGTATCCCAGCGCCCAGCCTACCGCCGTGTCCGCGGCCTGGCAGGGAGGGGCAGGTGGGAAGGAGCCAGGTGGGAGGGGCAGGTGGGAGGGGCAGGTGGGAAGGAGCCAGGTGGGAGGGGGCAGGTGGGAAGGAGCCAGGTGGGAGGGGGCAGGTGGGAGGGGGCAGGTGGGAAGGAGCCAGGTGGGAGGGGGCAGGTGGGAAGGAGCCAGGTGGGAGGGGCAGGTGGGAGGGGCAGGTGGGAGGGGCAGGTGGGAAGGAGCCAGGTGGGAGGGGGCAGGTGGGAAGGAGCCAGGTGGGAGGGGGCAGGTGGGAGGGGGCAGGTGGGAAGGAGCCAGGTGGGAGGGGGCAGGTGGGAAGGAGCCAGGTGGGAGGGGGCAGGTGGGAAGGAGCCAGGTGGGAAGGAGCCAGGTGGGAGGGGCAGGTGGGAAGGAGCCAGGTGGGAGGGGCAGGTGGGAGGGGCAGGTGGGAGGGGCAGGTGGGAGGGGCAGGTGGGAGGGGGCAGGTGGGAGGGGAGGATTCGCAGCCTCCCAGAGACCGGCCCCGCCTCCGGCTCTGCACCCTCCGGCCCCGCCCCGCCAGGCCTCGGCCCCGCCCCGACGACCCAGGCTCTGCCCGGCCCCGCCTACCTTCTTCTGGAAGGCCACGCCCCCAAAGGTGCGCTCGTCGAAGCCGTAGCCGCGGCTCAGCAGCTGGTGCACGAACACGGCGGTGGCGCAGTGGCTGGCCAGGTGGGCCTGCTGCCCCGGCGCCTGGGCCTGCAGCTGGGACCGGGGCAGGACACGGCCGTGACCATGGGACAGGAGCCGCGCAGTCCCCACCCACAGGCCAGACAGCGGCAATGCCTGAATATGCCTGGAGATGGTGCCCCACCCGGGGCCGGCAGCACCGCCGCCCGAAGGCCAGCCTGAGGGCTCCGCAGGGAGGGCCGATCCGGGAGCTGGGCAGCAGTGGAGCTGCGGACCTGTGGGCAGGGGCCCCGAGCCCCAGGCTTTGATCTGGTCCCCACCTCTGCCGCCTTCCCCAAGACACCTTTGTGTGCAGCTACTAGACAGGATGGCACTGGGTCTGGCGCATTTCTTCAGGAGTCTCACGCAGACACCTCCAGCTGCTCAGCCCCATGCCCTTCCTTAAAAGGGACTAATGTCTAGCCAGTGGCAGAAGGCAGAGCCCTGAGTCCTTTCAGCTCCTCATGCTCCACCCCAAGCCCTGCCAGTTCTCTCCACCACATCTCCCTGGCCTGCCTTCTCCCCCACACTGCCCCTGCTAAAGCTCCCTTGGTCCCTGCCAGCTCCACACTGCTCGGCAGAACTTTATGTTGCTCCCCTCTGCCCTCCAGGAGTGGGTGCAGGTCCGGCCTCAGAAAGCCAGGGAACCCCAGCCCACTTGGCCCCAAACTCCCCAGCTATAATCTGGCCATATCTTGAGTACAGCATGGTCATTCCTCAGCCCAGTCAGTGGTATTCTGGAAGACCTCCCTTCAGGTAAAGCAAAGGGATGGGGGCGGGGGCAGAGGAAGGGAATCCCTCCCTCCAGGCAGTGCAAAGGGATGGGGGGCAGAGGAGGTGAGCAGGCCTCACCTCGGCCCAGGTCTGGTTGCAGAGGGTGACGGAGGCCGCCTCGAGTTGCTGCAGGGTGGCAACAGGCAGTCCCATCACAGTTCTGAGGAAGTCCACGGTGTAGTAGAAAGCAGAGAAGGCCTGCGGGGAAGGGAGGAACACGGTGACACGGTGACCCAGCGGCATGGCTGGAGAACCTCAGGCCCTCTCCCTCTGCTCCTGAGACTCACGATGAAGCTCCCAGCCACGGGGGGCTGGAAGACCCCATTGAAGGAACACAGGGAGAAGTGGCAGGAGGAGAAGTTGAAGAGGCTGGAGACAAGGCTGCGACAGAGGATGGGGTCGCTGCTCCCAGACAGGCTGACCCTGGTGCTGCTGTTGAAGCCGGGGGGCCGCTGGCTCGCTGTGCATGGTGACTGGTACACCTCCCCAAGCACCACTTGGGAGGAATAGCCTCTTGGCCAGCAAGGGTGGAACCCATGGGTCTGAGGGAGTGAGCAGAGGGTGAGAGGTGCCCCATGATTCCCGCCCCGCCTCAGAGCGCCAGCGGATACACTGCCCCCAAGTCAAAGAGAGCAGCATCGCCTGTGTTCAGGAGCCATCAGAAGATAAGTTCCGTAGTGAAAAAATCAAGGCCTTCTGAGATCACCAGGCTCTCCTTTCTCCAGGCCCCTCCCCCCCCGCCCTGGCCGTGGCTATGCTGGGTCCCTCCCCTCCGGTCTTTGGCTGATGAAAGGCAAGTGGGAGGGCTGTGCTGTGGGCCCTGTCCCTCTGCTCCGTCCCCTTGACAGTGGTGGCGGCAGCCTGAGCAGAGGTACCTGGAGGGCGCTGGCCAGCAGCCTCTGCAGGACCTGGTCTCGGCCGTAGCAGAGGAAGCTGTGAGTATACACTCGGTATTTCTGGCCGTAGAGCCGCAGGTGGACTTCATTGGCTGGGTCCTCGGCCGGACTGGCTGTCTCAAAGGTGATCTGCGTGGAGGCACCGCCGAGGTCCATGGCCCCCGTCGTCCCCCTCCTTGGCCGGAACCACCGGCCCACCCAGCCATACTGCGGAGAGTGGAGGTGGGGTTGGTGGATGGACAGGACTGGGCTCCACAGGCCTATGGCCAAGCCCCCCTGCGCCCCCCCCCAGGCCCCTGCCAGGTGCCCAACAGGCCCACCTTGATGAAGTTCTCCAGCAGGTAGTTGGCAGTCACCCAGCCAAACACTCCCTCATCCTGGCCAGAGAGGATGCGCGCACCACGGAAGTCAAAGGGGTACTGGGTCAGCGTCTGAGTCACCGCCCCAAGCACACCGGCACAGGCCTCGGGACTGGTGAGACTGAGAAGGAGGGAGGACTGAGGGGCTCCTCCCTGTGCAGGCAGAAGGACTGAGGGGCTCCTCCCTGTGCAGCCAGAAGGACTGAGGGGCTCCTCCCTGTGACACAGGAGGACTGAGGGGCTCCTCTCTATGACACAGGGAGGACTGAGGGGCTCCTCTCTATGACACAGGAGGACTGCGGGGACTCCTCTCTATGACACAGGAGGACTGCGGGCCTCCTCCCTGTGCAGCCAGGAGGACTGAGGGGCTCCTCTCTATGACACAGGGAGGACTGAGGGGCTCCTCTCTATGACACAGGGAGAACTGAGGGGCTCCTCTCTATGACACAGGGAGGACTGAGGGGCTCCTCTCTGTGACATAGGAGGACTGCGGGGACTCCTCTCTATGACACAGGAGGACTGCAGGGGCTCCTCTCTGTGCAGCCAGGAGGACTGCGGGGCTCCTCTCTGTGAGCCAGGAGGACTGCGGGGCTCCTCTCTCTGCAGCCAGGAGGACTGCGGGGCTCCTCTCTGTGCAGCCAGGAGGACTGCGGGGCTCCTCTCTGTGACACGGGAGGACTGAGGGGCTCCTCCCAAGGCCACTCCTGGGGGTGTCCCAGCCCCAAGCAGTGGCCAGCAGCCCGTAGGCCCCTCATGCAGCACCTGTCCAGGTCAAGGTCAAGGTTGAGGCTCAGGAATACTGACTTGAGCAGCCTCATGCCCGCTGTGGCGCCCAGGTAGAGCGGCGTTCTGGAATGTTGGTCTTTGGGCACATCCCTAAGCGCCTGTTCAAGACATTCAACCAGACTCTGGCCGGCCCTGGCAGGGTCATCCGCGTAGCTGGAGATGCCCCCACCTAGAGAGGGTAGGTGTAAGCCCAGCCTGGCAGACAGCCCCCAGGGGCTGCTGCTGGGGGTGCCTGCCTCCCAACCAGGTGGCAGCTTAGACACACCTTGTCTGCCTACACCCCATCTCAGAGAGAGACAAAGGAGCGCAGGTGCCACCCTGTCTCTGAGGCTGCCGCCCGCCTGGTGGGTGTGGGCACAGGTGCCTGGACAAAGCATGGGGCACTGTCCGCCCAGTCTAGCTTCCCAGGGTCCAGCCTGGATGTGGGTGCTGGACGCTCAGAGCACAGAGGCTTGTCGAGCTGGTCAAGCCCAGACTGTCGACCTTTCTAGAACACAGGCCTCGCATGGCCCCTCCCGGGCCCAGAGGGCCCAGTCTGTTTCTGAGACTCCTGCTGACACAACCCCACCAGCCCCACACAGAGGGCCAGGCCAAGCCAGGGTCCCCAAGATGCCCACAGGGGGCTGCGGCTAGGACAGGTTCGGTGCTGGGCGTCTACCCACCCGAAACATCACAGGAGCTGTGCTGGCCCACGATGCCCGTGTCATTCTCCTTGTCCGCTGGCCACTTGTAGATAAACATGGATGTGTGCGAAGAGCCGGCATCCAGGACTATGCCATACTGAGGGAAGGGGAGGGGAGGGGAGGGAGCAGTCAGCCTGGGGGTCCAGGAGTCCTGAAGAGCCCCCCCACTTTACTGCTGCCTGATTTGTGGTGAGCTTAATGCCATAACCACAGCAATACAGCTTGCTTGCTTGCTTGCTTTTTTTCTTTTTGGTTGTGGGTCTTGAACTCTGGGCCTTGCGCTGTCCCTCAGCTTTCAGCTCAAGGCTAGTGTTCTGCCACTTGAGCCACAGCGCCACTTCTGGTAATGCAGCTTTAATATTAGGAGAATTAGCAGAGGCCTCTCAGGTGATCCTCCCTCTGACTGCCTGGCGTCTGGATGCCATGATCGGGAAGCAGCCTTCCTAGTGAAGGCAAATCCGAGTCCCACCATTACATCCGCAGCTTTGCCCCACGCTTGAGGGGCGGCTCAGGGAGGCAGAGCCCAGTTGCAGATGAGCCCCTTGGGCCTCTCTTCCTTCCTGCTCTGCAGCTGTCTGCCCTGACCTCAGCCAGACCTGAGGATGTGCATGGGAGGCCTGGAAATGAGCTTCCAATACGCGTCTCCTCTCTGAGCCTCAGAGCGAGCGTCAGAGGGGTCTCGGCTGTGGCGCTGCGAGGGGGCTGGGGGGCTCAGTACCGGCGTGTCAGTGTGTCAGTGCTGGGCCTAGCACCTGCCTCCAAGGTCCGGCCTCCAATCCTGGGAGCCCGGCTGGAGGTCAGGCTCGGGTCGTGCCAACACCAGCCTGGGAAAGACTACGCCGCCCTGCACACCAGGAGCCCACCCGGGAGGCGGGAGGCGGGGGGAGCGGGAGGCGGGGGGAGCGGGGGGAGGGGGGGGGCGGGAGGGCCCCTCCGGTGCCACCGTCCAGGCTCCTGGGGTCTCCCCCATCCCCCCCCCCCCGCGCACCCCAGTGACGTGGGAGGAGGGCGCCCCGTGCGGACCACCGTGGCAGCTCCAAGGGTCCTCGGTCCCCCGCGCCCGTCACCCCATCGGGGCGGAACCCCGAGCCGGTGCGGCTCTAGCCGCGGGGCGGCCGGGCCTGCGCGGCGGGCGGGGAGTTCCCGCGACTTTGGCCTCCAGCACCGCGCCGCTCCGGAAGCGCCGCGCCCCGCAGACGCGGAGGGCGGAGCGCGGGGCCCGCGGCGGGCGCGCGGGGTCGGGGTCCCCGCGGGCGCCGGCCGCCGCCCCGCCCGCGCCCCGTCCCGCCGCCGCGCACCTTCAGAGCCGGCGGTTCCCGGACGTCGCGCGTGGGGACGCAGAGCAGCAGGAGGCCGGCGAGGCCCACGGCGGCCAGCAGCAGCGGCGGCAGCAGGGACAGCAGCTTCCCCGCCATGGGCGCGCGGAGGATCGGCGGGGACCGGGCCGGGGCGGGGACCGGGCCGGGGCGGGCGGGGGCCGGGGCCGCCGGGCCGCGGAGCGGCGCCCGGGCGGGGCGGGGCCTGCCGGGGGCGGGGCCACGGGGGCGGGGCCACGCCCGCGGCCACGCCCACCGCCGCGAGCCCAGGTGAGAGGTGCGGCGGCTTCGCGGGTGACGCGGCGCAGCCGCCAGTGGCCCGCGGCCGGGGCCGGAATCCTCAGGCCGTCCTCAGGCGTCGGGAGGGGTGCCGGGCCGGGATGGGGTGTCGGGGCGGGCCGGTGAGCTGGAATAGGAGTTCGGCGGCCCCCGGGGACCCGGGCCGGGTGGGCGGCGCAGCCCCCGCGATCCCCACGCGTGCGGACCACGCTGCTGCGCCCACCCGACCTGCCGCGCGGGGCCGCCCGGCGCCCCGACCCGCGGGGCCGCGCGGCCTCCCGGGCCGGAGCTGGGGGGGAGGGGGGCAGCCCAGCCCCTCCCGGGCCCGGAGCTGGGGGGGAGGGGGGCAGCCCGGGCCCGGAGCTGGGGGAGAGGGGGGCAGCCCAGCCCCTCCCGGGCCCGGAGCTGGGGGGGAGGGGGGCAGCCCGGGCCCGGAGCTGGGGGGGAGGGGGGCAGCCCGGGCCCGGAGCTGGGGGGGAGGGGGGCAGCCCAGCCCCTCCCGGGCCCGGAGCTGGGGGGGAGGGGGGCAGCCCAGGCCCGGAGCTGGGGGGGAGGGGGGCAGCCCGGGCCCGGAGCTGGGGGAGAGGGGGGCAGCCCGGGCCCGGAGCTGGGGGGGAGGGGGGCAGCCCAGCCCCTCCCGGGCCCGGAGCTGGGGGGGAGGGGGGCAGCCCAGGCCCGGAGCTGGGGGGGAGGGGGGCAGCACAGCCCCTCCCGGGCCTGGAGCTGGGGGGGAGGGGGGCAGCACAGCCCCTCCCGGGCCTGGAGCTGGGGGGGAGGGGGGCAGCCCGGGCCCGGAGCTGGGGGAGAGGGGGGCAGCCCGGGCCCTCCCGGACCCGGAGCTGGGGGGGAGGGGGGCAGCCCGGGCCCTCCCGGACCTGGAGCTGGGGGGGAGGGGGGCAGCCCAGGCCCGGAGCTGGGGGGGAGGGGGGCAGCACAGCCCCTCCCGGGCCTGGAGCTGGGGGGGAGGGGGGCAGCACAGCCCCTCCCGGGCCTGGAGCTGGGGGGGAGGGGGGCAGCCCGGGCCCGGAGCTGGGGGGGAAGGGGGCAGCCCCGGCCCGGAGCTGGGGGAGAGGGGGGCAGCCCGGGCCCGGAGCTGGGGGGGAGGGGGGCAGCCCGGGCCCAGAGCTGGGGGGGAGGGGGGCAGCCCGGGCCCTCCCGGACCCGGAGCTGGGGGGGAGGGGGGCAGCCCAGGCCCGGAGCTGGGGGGGAGGGGGGCAGCCCAGGCCCGGAGCTGGGGGGGAGGGGGGCAGCCCAGCCCCTCCCGGGCCCTGGGCCGAGGCGAGCAGAGGAGGGCCGGGTGGCTACACGGCCACACCACGCCTGGTGATGGACAGAAGAGGGACAGCCGATGGGCCCCGCCGCGGCCGCACCGCCCTGCCGGCCTCCGAGGAAGGCCGAGGCTCAGACAGGGAGGCCAGGCGTCCAGCAGGCCTCGTGCATGCCAGGCCTCATCCTAGCAGATACCAAGTGGCGTCTTTGGCCAGGGGCGTTGGATACAGGCCGGGAAGGGCAGGGCTGTGAGGGCACAGTTCTGACCACCCCTGCCCCCCAGCCCGGGATGTCCCAGCCTCCCGCCCTCCCCTTCCTCTCCTGGCCCGAGGGGCTCGAGCCACAAAGCAGTGTTCCAGGCCGCAGGCAGCCCTGTGACCAGACCTCGGGGCACGGGCATCTGGAGCTCCAGAGCTGCCTTTGATGGGAACCGGGTCCGGGCAGAGCCCTGGCCACAAAAACAGCAGGGACAATCGGGCTGGACTGCCGCCCAGGCTCAGGGTCTGGTGTCTAGGGCCAGCAAAGGCTTCTTTCTTCCCGCTGGGGACGGGTGGGGGGGAGAGGGATGGAGGACCTGGGAGGTCAGCCCCTCCCCCTCAGAGCCGCAGTCTCCAGAACAAAACTTGTGAGTGTGGCCAGGCCTGTTTCCTGGTAGCACACCCCACATCCCCCCAAGCCCTTTTTTCCACGGCTGGGGGGCAGGGGGGATGCAGACTGGACCCAGCTGGGAACAGCATGTGAAAAGGCTGTGTGTGCTGGGAGCCCCTGCCTGCCAGCACCCCATCTCTTGTACTCAGCCCAAGAGAGCTTTCTAGTGTTCTGCCCTTGGATGGACAAGCCAGGGCCACAGAAGCCCCCACCAAGCCTGGCAGGCCAGGGCTGGGGTAGGGAGGCCTGACCCCTGCCCTGGGGGAAGACAGCCTCCCACCAAGGCCCTGACAAGCTGCCAAGGTGGGGGGGGGGGAGGCAGGGAGCTGGAAACCTCCAGGCTCCCCACCAGGGCAGGGTCTGAGGACCGAGTTGTCTCTGAGAAAGAGCAAGGGCGGGGCATGCCCCCTTTAGCCAAGATGTCCTGGGGTGCTGGGCCCTTGGATGGGAGAGCTGGGGGAGGGGCCCAGGGGAGTGGACTCAGTGGAAGGGAGGAGTAGCAGCTTTGGGAACTTGGCAGGGGTGGGTTAGGAACATGCCAGGGCTCCTGGCAGAGGAACGTGGGTGCCGTAGAGATGCACAGCCTCTCCCGCAATCTCTGGGAGGGGTGGCCTTGCCAGGATCTCCATCAGAAAGCCCCGGGTGCAGTGGTTGAAATCCTGGGCCGGGAAAGTCCTTGCCTGCGGCCCCCTCTGCCCCAGACTCGTTAGTCACCCAACCAACGCCTGAAGCCGGCGAGCAGTGATGATCTTGGTATGTTTGTACAACCTGGGTGCTGTCTCAGCTCTAATCACCCAAGACTGACTGACTGCCACTTGAGCCACAGCTCCATTTCTGGCTTTTTTGGTAGTTGCAGGGAGATGAGAGCCTCCCAGAGTCTCTCCTCCAGGGCTGACTTGGACAGCAGTGCTCAGATCTCAGCCTCCTCAACAGCTAGCATTATCAGCCTGAAGGCGGGAAAAAGCCCATGGCCCCAGGTGTTCCGGAAAAAGCAGGCGTGGAGGCCCGGGGAGGAAGAGGAAGTGGCTGGCTGGTGAAGTGCAGCAGCCGCAACCGAGAGGGTGGGGCTCGGGCAGGTGGATAAGAACATGAGTATCAGGGCAGAAGGCAGTCTGCTGCAATCCGCACTCCCCAGCGGCCTGCCCGGGCCTCTCCTCCACTGGAGAAGCCTGCCTCTGCACTGTCTACCTCTCCTTCTCCTTTCTCTATAGCTTTGCTACCTGTCAATGTATCTCTAAGTAATGTATTTTTTCTTGGTCTTTCCTTCCCTCTCTCCCTCCCTCCGATGCTCCCTCCTCTCTCTTTTGTGCCAGTTCTGGGGCTTAAACTCAGGGCCTGGGCCACTGTCCCTGAGTTCTTTTTGCTCAAGGCTAGCACTCCACCACTTTGAGCCACAGCGCCACTTCCAGTTTTCTGGTGGTTAATTGAAGATAAGAATTTCACCGATTTTCCTGCCTAGGCTGTCTTTGAACCGCGATCCTCAGATCTCAGGCTCCTGAGTAGCTAGGATGACAGGTGTGAGCCACGGATGCCCGACTTCACATGGTGCTTTTGAGAGTCTCAGCCCTTTTGACACTGAAGGCGCATCTGTTCATTCACTGTCCCCGTGTAAATATACCAGCTCACACCAGTGGAGCAGTCCCCGTATAAATATACCAGCTCACACCAGTGGAGCAGTCCCCGTGTAAATATACCAGCTCACACCAGTGGAGCAGAGACGTGCATGGAGGATTGTCTGGTCTTGCAGTGTCTGGCTGCTGCATTCAGAGCCCCCCAGGGAGTGTCCCAAAGGCTGAATTGCCTTTGTAGTGACACCATCTCCAGCTCCACATCTCCAACAAGATGGTGCCCAGATGCAGCCCTTGGAAAGCTCCCAACATCTCCCATGCTTCCTCGCATTTGTGCAACTTTGAGATTTTGAAGAGCTATGGAGGGCAGACTGGGCCGTCCTAGAGACTTCAGTTCTGTTACCAAGATGACGGATGTCCCTCTGAGAAGCTCTGCCCCAGCCTTGCATCCCTGGCTGGGGCTGCTCTTACCCACACACATGCACAGGCTGTGTAGTGTGTGCTGCAGACCTGTCCTCTAGTGGTTTGTCATCATTTGGATGCCTCTGCCCTGTGTTCCAGGTTTGTTTCTGGGGCTCAAGTCTGAGTAATCACTGTGAGCTCAGGGTGTTCTCCAAAGGCCTGGGGTTTGTTTACAGAGCACCTCCCAGTCATCTGGAGGCCGCATGGGTGTGGGGGATGGGAGGAAACGCTCCCAGCTTCTATGTTCCTGTGTGGAGAACTAGATGTCCTTGGCAGGATCCTCACTGGGCCTGAATGGAGTGCACGGTCCCCAGCCCGCCGGACCCATGTGCCGCACTCGGTCCCCAGCCCACCGGGCCTGCGTGGAGTGCACAATCCCCCAGCACAACACAGCACATCTTGACCTCTAGGAAGAAATTTGCATCTCTTGTACTGGGGTTCTGACTCAAGCAGTGGAATGTCTGCCAAGAATGAGACTCTTGAGTTCCTCATTAAAAAAGGGAAAAGGAGCCGGGCGCCGGTGGCTCACGCCTGTCATCCTAGCTACCTAGGAGGCTGAGATCTGAGGATCGTGGTTCAAAGCCAGCCCGGGCAGGAGAGACCGTGAAACTCCTATCTCCAATAAACCACCAGAAAACCGGAAGTGGCGCTGTGGCTCAAGCAGTAGAGCGCTCGCCTTGAGCTGAAGAGCTCAGGGACAGTGCCCAGGCCCAGAGTTCAAGCCCCGCGACCGACCAAAAAAAAAAAGGAAAAGGGGCTGGGAAAGTGGCTCAGTGGTAGAGTGCTTGCCTAGCACACACAAAGCCCTGGATTTGATTCCTTAGTCCCACATAAGCAGAAAAAGCCTGAAAAGGCACTGTGGCTCAAGTGGTAGAGCGCTAGCCTTGAGTGCAGAGAGGCTTAGGG